TGAGAATTGTTTGTGTAGGAAGATTATTAGAAATTTATACGGTTGTGAGGCGTGGTTTAGGATGAAATAAATTCTGGCTGCCATTTTGTTTCGCAACTTTTAATGGAGAACAAACGGGCTGACATAAAAACAAACCTGTATTAAGAATTTTGGAGCAAATTTGACAATATCCTTTACGGGAGAAGCTTACAAGCAGCTGTTCTTTCTTATAACAATCACTTTTTAGCCATTGATGGAGCTACAGCAGGTAAGTATGGCATTTTTTTATGCCTCCATTGACTTCCTTAACAAACTTGCCAACCAAAATGACAGCCAATGCCAGCCAATTATAACGTGTGGGCCGATACCGTATATAAAATTAATGAAATTCATATCTTTTCCACTTTCATGTCTGGCCACTTGCAGTGGTCTGTTGATTCTAATTACATGTATATCATCAATTCATTTTTCAATAGTTTTATTAAATGAATGCAAAAGGACTGACCTGAATACTGCCATTGAGAAGCTGACAAGTACAACCGCAAGCATTAGTGGTTAGCAATATGACCTTTATGTGTCTAATATTTTATTTTATTTTTAGCTAGCTACAAAGCTGTTTTAGGTCTTAATGTTTCTGAAGAAGGGCTTAAAAATTATGATAAAGTATTTTTATTAGAGTTTTGCTCATTATTTTGTTGAAATAGGAGTTCATGGAAAAATATTCTGTTATGTTGACTGAGTTATACTGTATTACTACACCATCACAGTCAACTTCATTGCAAGAATTAATAAAACGTCACATGCTGCAAATAAAAGACAACTATTTCTTAGTTCACACTAATGTTCTTCCTCCTAATTGTCAACAAATGGGACCAGAAATGGCTAATGTTGATGAAACAAAGCTTGGTTGTGCTCTTTATTTAACAGCATCATTGTTTAATCACTCATGTGATCATAACATGCTAAGAAAGTATGTTTAGTTTATTTATCTTACTAATGAATGTTTACACCATGGAATTATATTGTTATTAATGAATTACCATGTAACTTACAATTTTTGTGGTACTAATTTTTATAAATTCTACGATTATATAATAGCTACAAAATTTTTTTTAATGAAATTATGTGACGTGCATGGTCAAGGGAATTTGCATATTTACATTTCCCACAAATATTCAAATTGAGGCTTTTCACAAAAATTTTGTGCCACAAAAATTTTAGGTGATATGGTAGTTTGTTGTTTAAATCACTCTAATTAAATGTAGAACCCAAGGGGTAGGGGCGTACCCAGGAATGGGAAGAGGAGGGTGCTAATGGCCAGCAAAGCGTGCCGCAATTTTGGCCACACCCCTTGTTACGGTACTAAAATACTGTTTTCCACCATCTTTCATTAATAATAGGCGGAGTCACGATAATTTCAAGCTTCTGGTGCTTCCTATTGCCCTTTAAAGCACTGGAAAATGCTTAAATTGAGGCTGAAATGATTGTCAAGTACATGTATGTTGAATAACTTTCTTAAGACACTTACAGTACTGCTCAGCTATAACTTTACTTATCGTGTTTGCAGTGCCCACACACTCAACCTGTTATTGCACTAGTAGCAAATGCAGGTAGTGCTGGAGATCACTCGTGTAAAAGTAAAGTTATAGCTGAGCGATTCTATAGCAGTGATATCAGAAACCAGAGCTTAAAGAATTATCTGATCCCAGCCATGAGGGGGATGCTCAATCTCCTTTTAGCCCCCCCCCCTGGGTACGCCTCTGGTAGAACCCTACACGTGTACAGCTCAATGTTTGTTGATTTATGCATTAGATCTTTTACACAGCAATGCAAAATGCATCCTTTTAAAAACAATACACTTTTAAATACCAGTTTTGTTTCTATGCAGTTCTATCAAATTTTTATCATGGTTTTATTTGTTTCCGCGTAAACAGAAGCATTAAGCAGCCCAAAACTATAGGATTGCATAGGTTTCATTGCTGTGTAAAGATGTATACATGCATGTATGTGTAAAGTTGAATGTACCTACAGTATATGTAATTGATGAGCAAGTGTATCAGTAGGTACAGTGCATACCACACCCCTTGGCATATCTACTTATTACATTTAAAATCCTACTGCCAGAGGCGTATTTAGGGGGGGGGGGGCTGAGGGGGCTTGAGCACCCCCCTCAGGGCTGGGTTCAGAAAAAATTACTGAAGTCCTGGACTCTTGCATCACTACCAAGCCTCTTAACAAAGTTATCTAGCCCTCTGATCATGATTTCAGCAGTTTCCAGTGCTTTAAGGAGCAATCAGAAGTACCAGCAACCTGTATCTATGCAGTAACATAGCAGTATGCTTGAAATGATCTTGGCCCCACCCGTAATTGACGAAAATGCAGGAAAAGGCCGTTTTACTGCCGTAAAAGTGGGTGTGGCCAAAATCACGGTGCGCTTCGCGCACCCTTAGCACCCCCCTTCCCCGATTCCTTGCTACTGCTGTATTCAAATGTTCTTATTAACAAACAATTCTATAAATTTTCCAAAATTTGCCCCAGTCTTATCTCTTATTAAAAAGTACCAAAGAGTTACACTTACCAAAGCCAATGTTACTCCTGTGACACATACTTTACATTGAAATTAATGGTCGCCTAATATGGAATATCATTTGTTTGACTATAAAAGGAGAATGCTATGATTAAATGGGAGCCAATTTTATCATTTTTAATTTTATCAATGAAGTGGCTTTATTACCTTTTTATATGCAGGTTTATTGGAAATAGAATACAAGTATTAGCATATACAGATTCACTCACAAAAGAAGATGAACTGTGTTTGTCGTATGGTAATTTTGATAATTTTATTTTTGAAATTTTACTGAATGCTTTTGCAGGACCTAAGATTGGTCATATAAAAAGAACAGAGAGGTTAAAAGAATTGAAAAAGACATCATTTTTTGACTGTTCATGTGTTCCTTGTGTAAAGTAAAGTTGGTTAAAATTTAAATTTGTGATGTTGGTTTTAAAACTTTATAGCCCCAAAAGAGAAATGCTTCTGAAAGAGTATGGATGGTATGGCATGGTTTGTCCACATTGTAAAGTAGGACTGTTACCTGAACCTGATGATCCTCAAAGTGATACAACTAGTGAATGCATTGACTGTAGAAAGCAGACCGATGTTAAGAGCCTTTTAGAGGTTTGTCTACAATGTATGTATTGTCATCACACATCACATGTTTGTAGATGCATCATTGTGTATTTTATTTTTAATCTCATGTTTATTTTTGAGTGTTATTAGTTTTCAATATTGGATTGCGATTATTAACAAAAATAAGTTAGCCTATATTAAAATTTTGGTGGATTTCCTTTTTAAAACAAAATAAAATTCACAGAATTGCTTAAATTGGCTTGACATGGCCATTGGTCAAAAAGTAGAAAATTGAAAAAAATTTAAGATGCAAATTAAATTTTTCAGACAGATTTGCGAAATTGTTGGGCCAAAAAGTTTTTGCTATGTGGTATAGTTGCCCATATCCCAAAATATACTGCTGGTATATCATAGTACCTTAGGATGAGTATTAATTACATAATATAATTGTAGCATTTTTAGTGATTGTACTTTAAAACGCTAATTAAACCAGTCCCTAATAATAGTTATAATATACTTGTGTAAACAAGTACACAAGATAGTGTCAGCCTATTAAGTGTTGTGCTCATAAATGGATAGGATGGGCTTTTTGAAATGTATTAAGCTTTTAAATGGGAGTTTCACTATTGATTCTCTTCTTTCGTTTGATGCTGTTAAAAACATTATGATGTGAGCACAAGCGAGCTTTGTGAAAATTAAGCTATTGTCAGTGACGAAAATGAATAAAATCAACTTATTAATTGTATCGATACTGGATCAACTTAAGTCTCGTTGCTGTAGTTGAGTTGTTGTTCCTTCTTGAGTAAAATATCTTTTGTAAAATCTAAAGACCACTCATCATTAACTTCTCAGCATTAACTTCTGTCAGTGATCCTGACAATACAAACTTGCAAATGCACATCAGATGCAGAATAGAGGATATGCGTGCCATATTATTCATTACTTTTTAGTACCGTATATCCAACCTACACTGTAAATTGGTCACCATGTTGGACGTCAAGTTAATTAAGAGTTCAATGGAGAAAATACATTTTTTGCCATGCTACCTTCTTGAGGCCTTTTGGGGAGCTTAGAAAGCATTTTGAAGACCTAATGGGGTCTAGTATAGCCACCTGAATAATTGCTATTAAGAAATACAGATCGTTTTCATGTAATTAAGGTTGTATGCAATGAATACATTTATTTTGCAATAAACATATGTACACTATATCCCAACTGAGTTTGATACCAGCCGCTTGGAATTTGATGCACAAATTGTCATAAAACGTCATTTTGGTATGCCATTCGCTTTATAGGGAGAACCCAGTTCTCAGGGTTCCCAAGGGCTGAGAGACCTAAGACCTAAGATCCTATGATGCCATTGGGCAACTAAGAACCTGTGACAGTTTCATCCTTATCCCACATCCCTATAAAAAATTTTTCTTGGGTCAAACTCAGTTTAGATATAGTATAGCACTAGAGGTGGGCCAATTACGTTTTGCTAAATCAGGGTCATCCTGAAAACGCTAAAATTTAAGAATGCAATTAATACCCACCCTAAGGTACTTAATGAGGTTTTATAGATCTTACCTGCAAATGAAGAAGTTTGAAGGTACTTTGAATTGCAGTATCTGCCATTCTACTTGTGATAATTACCCAGACTAAAGTATTTAAAATTATTTTTTCTGCTGATCTGGAGCTTGTTAGACAAAAGAATCATTGTTGTCATGCATCTCTTAAAATAAATTTAGTAAAAATGCATGCTTAAGTGTGGGTATTAATTGCCCTCTTAAATTTTTGTGTTTTTAAAAGACCCTGATTTAGTGAAATGTGATATTAGTGAAAAGAAGAAAAATAATTGTGACCCCCCCATCTCACTAGCATATCACTACTCAAAAAGCCTAATCTATCGATTTACAAGTGAAATACTTATAATAGATTAACCCTATCTACTTACAGATCTTGCCTATCTTGTGTATTTGTTTGCACAATTTTATTAGAGGCTGAATAAGCATTTTTAATTTAGCTCATTACAAACTATGATTTAACTTTATTATGTAGCAAGGACAGGAACTGTTGCAGAATTGTCGTGAAAGCTCTACACTAAGAGATCTCGAAAATAATTATGAAAAATTGGCCAAAGTGTTGTATAAGTATAATAAATCACTTTGTGATATTTGCAAGCTGATTGCTTCATACTATGTTGATCAAGGTATATGAGTTTGCATTGTTACCGAACTTTAATTTTCATCATAGGAGATTATTGTAAAGCTTCTTTTTATTATGAAAAAAGGATTGAGGCTCTTGAAGTTATTCATGGCCCAAATAGTATAGAGCTATGTAGTGCTTTACCTAATTATAGCCGTGTGCTTGAAGCAAAGTGAGTATTTTATTTTGTGCTACTGTATATACACATGTAGGTCTTATTTCATTGGGTTATACAACTTTGTGCACCATTTATATACTCTGTTTCTGTAATTCTATGTGTTTGTTTTTCTTTTATTGAAGCTAAAAGCAACATGCAATATAGCAAAAATTATTCACTTAATATCTTTATCCCCATTTCTTCATCTGATATGTGAATCTAGTGTGTAATTTTTGTAATGGCTAGAATTGCATGAGGCAATATACAATATAAAATGGCTTTACTGAGTGTCTTGTTGATCTACTTTTACTAATTTTTGCAGAGATACTAAAAAAAGTGTAAAGGTGGCTAAGAGGGCTCTTCGATTAGTGGAACTTTTCTATGGACCAGATGATGAGGATGCTAAACTTTTGCGTGATTTTCTTAAGAAGTATAAGAGTTTATAATTATTCTGCAGTGTTTTTTTTTTCATTGTAGATGAGTTAATTTGAAGTCTTAATCTGTACTTGAAACATAAATTTACTAGTGTTAATTAACTTATTTTACCTGCCCTAACTATATGCTACCTTTTCTTTTCAAGATTTTTTAAATAAAAGACCTTGTATTGATCCAATGCAAATGTACAAACTAGTAGTAGGCCAGCTTTAAATTAGTTATTCTTCATAAAAGGTGAAACTAAGATTCTTGGGCACATAATGTGGTATGTTTTTTTTGGGGGGGGGAACTTGTTCTTTCACTGTTTATTGAGTTTACAATGTAATTGTTATGTGTCATGTTATGTTCTATCCACGATGTGTAATGTTAGCTTCTGTCCATGATTTTATCAGCTATGAACACTCCTCAATGCCTATCCTACTAACAGTGCATAAAAATTTTAAGGAATTGATGAATTGATGCTTTCACTACTTTTTGTGCGCACGATAATGAAAATAAAGGCCTTTTCACACTGGCAAAAGTAACGCACATTGATGCGCATTAATCGTGTTCACAGTGAGTGTGAAAAAGCCTTAAGTTATAACAACCAGCTTGGAGGTTTAATGTAACATAGCTTCTAAATTCATGAAATGATAATTATTATAGCCTTCACTTTCTTCCTACTCAACATGTACAGTAACTGTCATAATTATTGTTTAATAGTATCTAGCTGCATGTTAGCATTGTACTGACACTTCCTACTTGAAGGTTCTGATTTATTTAACTAGAGGTGAGATTAATTTTAAGGTTGCAGTATATTAAGCAGCGCTGTTGTCTCTTCTCTCTAGCTTCATCTTCCAATTCTCCACAATTGTGGCTGCAGTATAGGTCCCCCTGGTGTAACAGTATCTCCTCTGATATCAGGTCTAATAAGGTCTATTATTTAAACTCAATCCCAAAATCTCCAAGGCAATTCTGGTCCTTTGTATGTTCCCTTAGAGAGAATAAAGACCCAATTCCATGCTAACCTTAGATGCTCAACACACTGCTACTTCAAATACTTATATGGCTATTGTACTCAATTCCACCTTTTCAAGCTTTTTCACTCCAGCCATGACCTCTCTAACTCCATTTCCTCCACCCCTACCAATTCCTCTCCCCCTCCTCTCATTTTCCTGCCCCTCCTCTTTCCCCTCACTCTATTCTCCCCCTTCTCCTAGCTCTATTTCTTT